ATCAAACTCACCTGACACAACATAATTACTTAGATCAACATTATCGCTTCGATTTGTTATGTCTACTTGAAATCCTGAAGCAATGTTTTACTTTATTCAGTGATTCACTTTAACTTCACATTCATACGCTATGCTGCCTAAAGAATGATTCGTCTACATGCGCATCGCTGATTATAAACGCACATCACAGCGCTATGATAACAGTAGTTTTGCTGATAATAAAGGGGATAGGAATGAGGCACGTCGACGTATAACTTCAATAAATCCTCACCTCCCATTTTTTCACTCAGCGACAAGTATTTCTAAATAGTAAGTATGTAGCGTGTAATAAATTGGTGCTAACTGATCACCAATGCGTTACTTAACCAATATATTAGTACTGAAATGGTACTATTAACAGAAGGAAACGTTGAGGTGCGTATCACTTATACGCTGGCTGTTCATGAATTCACTGGACAGATCCTCTCTCACTTGCATACTTACCATGGTAAGTCCATGAGCCAAATTTCAGAGCACAATGCTGACTATCAAATGGAAAATACGTAACATCAATTTTACAAGTGCTTCTAAGTTGTGTAGGCGGTGGCCAAAATACAGTACCATCGTAAAAGACCATCGCTCTTGAACGCATATAACCAGCAGTGTAATCATCAGCGCTGTAAAGTGATTTCATCTTCAAAAGTTTTATTCTAATCGTTCGAAAGTTTACTGCACACAAATGTGAAGTGTTCAAGGCAGTTCGTATGATACGTTGAATGACTGACTGAATGTGAGTTGGTTTCACTGAAGGATTGTTCAATTAGCAGCTTACTTGTTGTAGAGAACAATATCAGGCAACCAAATCAAATCACAAGGTATACGGATCGACTCGATCCCTCCGAACTGCTTCGGATCCCACCTCAGCAGCTCATCTTTCCATTCCTCAATCATCCGCTTTTTTCACAACTCATCAAACGATGTCAACTTTATTAGTTATCATTGAAAAGCATTACCTGATCCAACCACACATTTATCGTCAACACTTGATTCCTTTCATCCTGCAATATTTATGAACTTTGACCATCATTTTTGAAATTCAAATAAAACAGTGAAAATCTCAATCAACTGTACCGATTCGACTACTCTTTGAATGAAACATTTCATCATTATCTAATGCTGCTATAATATAGAGTTCAGTGAAGATGGAACATCACAAACGCAAAACAATCACAAGGAATTCACAAAAGTTTCTTTCTCAAGGATTTTTGTCTCGGATCGGCTGGTTATTCTGTTAGTTGGATTTCAAACCGTAAGGGATATCCTCAGAACATGGCTACAAGTTGAATTGTCTACGTTTAAATTTGGTGTGAACAAAATCAATCAAATCGTCAATTAATAAGCGCAATAATGCGCTTGTTAAGAGTATAATCAAAAGTGAAAATCATCTAATTTTCAACAATAATTACAACGAACTCAGGATATCTGTTCCCAAAAACAAATAATTCATTGATTGTGAGTAACTACCAATCAGTTAATCGAATCACTGCAAGTCAATAACCATTTCAAAAATATTCGTCATCGTCATTCCGAGTTTCACCGTAATTGTATGTGATGCGTTTCGTACTGGTCGCACTGCCTTTTCATACTCCCGTAATAGATGATGCAGTAACTTCTGCTCGTCTGTTCTTGTTGCTTCCTCAGTAAACAACTCTAAATCAGTGCAGAGCGTTATTCGCTCGCAATCAATGCGTTTTTATTCATTCATTTTTATCTTTTACAACGTCATTCCAACAACTAATCTCCATCTTGTCTTCTGCACTCTCTTACAACAAACGAATAGCAAAACCAACAATGGATTATCTAAAATTCAATTTGTAAACAGAAAAGGTAGCATATGAACCTCGAACGAGTGTAGCAGTACAGCTATATCAGCTCAAATTAAGCTCATGCTTACGATTAATTGTAAGCTCAGGCTTATACGGGGCTAAAATATACCACATTGCTGAAGTCAATGGTGAAGTACAAAAAAACAACACTGATCATAAACGAACGTTTATCAGTCATACTTTTAATGATTTAAATGATACTATTAAAACAACAGCGGATTCAACTATTTGCTCAATCCAAAAGTGATTACATTAAAAAATATGTATAGCATACATCACTTTTTCAATATTTAGGAACGAAATTTATTTGACAAATATTCATTTACATGACAAATATTCATTTTTCATTTGCAGGATATTCAATATTCATTTAAATTAGAACAGAATCTGTTCTGAGATGGAAAGACAGATGGATAGACACATGCGGAATATCACTTAGTCATTCGAATAGCTAGCAAGTTTACATGTCGTTTTTACAAACTCAATAGGTGACATTAATGAACTAGAAGAAATGAATGACATTCAAGTTTAACAATCCTTTCACATACCGAATCATTCTCGAAAGCATTACTACTTGCAACAAAATATCATTCAAAATGAATTTGAGCAGTAAAATTTCTAAAATAATATCCGAATGAGGCTGTATTCTTATATCTGACATATTGATTGAGTTGATGCATGACAAAAAATATGCATCGATTATTCGGGAAGATTAGTCGAAAAAAATTACAAGTCTAAAAAGAGTCGTTCATTACACTTATATGATGTGATGTGATTGATTACTATCATTTAACATGATTACATATCAACCAGATACTGACAAATTAGATAGCGATAGTATTTATGAAAAGTGCTACCTGTGACAGTGTTATTGGCGAGAGTAAGTTTGTTAATGATGATAATCAGTGATATGAAGTATTGGGAGGTGGCCAACATTGTTGATATAAGATTTGAGTGCGTGTTCGCTTTGTCAATTTTCAGCGACATAATCATAATTGAGGCAGCAACGGCGCGGCTGGCTAGAATAAAGAAGGCTCAACATTTCTTTTCATAAGCCATGAGAGCAACCTGCACACAGCGACTGCTTTAGCCAATGAACACACACTGAAATATGCATGCATATTGTGCATGGCCAACGTTTTAAACATGAGTGAGCTGGTTAAGGTTTGTCTCTCGAGACGAGATGCGGAGAGACTAGAAAACTGACCTTGTCTCAACACTGACATGAAACAAAAACTTCTGAGACCTAAGCACGTTGTCCGGAATCTTTATGACGATATTCGATGACTTTAACCAAAATTCCATGTCGATAACGTTAAATCGCTACATCCCGATGAAAAGTGTCGGCGTCAATCGTTGATCGCACTGCTTAAATTCGGTTGTACACCGCTGCATCTTGCACCGCTCCAATTCTCATGTGACTGAATAGTAATTAACTCAGTTGATGCATTTTGAAAAGAAAATTTGATATTAAATTCTGTTTGCTATAAAATTCTGTTCACCATAATGAAATGAAATCTTCACAGTTTATGAATCTCGTCGGATAATTCGTCCTTAAAAATTGTTGAAACTGGTCTGATGAGCTCGAATATTTACGTAAATTGACGCAAAATACAAGGACCATAACATTTTAGCATCATTGGACATCAGCACAAAAAATTCTGACAAAACAGACCAGTTAGGAACGTGAATAATTCCTTTTCTTGCAAAGATGACGTTTCTTCTTATGGGTAAAAGAGTGTCACTCTTATTGGTGTAAATCTACCTGGAATGGTCTAATTTAATTCATTTCTTGAAACTCCTCTTAGTAAATCAACCATATGCCGTCATATTCGAATATAATCGACCTAATCTTTATACTAAAACTTTTTAGATTGTTTTTTTCACTTGTTTTGTTTGCACAATGCTTCAGTTAAAGCCTCATTTTATTTTCTCGCATTATTTCACACGATATAACCTTTTCTTTTTATGCAGTAAATTTAACATAATATTCTCAAAATATTACTGAGTTTATATGGAAATCGACATCTTTTTAGGTAGTCATCGACTGAAGCGGTGGCCACCGGTGAGATAAATTTTGGGCGTAGATGGGTGGTCACCAAAATTCACTTTTCCGCGGTCGCCAACACAACATTTCTTTTGAATGAGCAGCATTTTTTGGGGAAGTTCTAAGCGGGATTCCCATTTTTCGGAAATATTATTTCGGTCGGAGAGGACCCCTTTTTGGGGGGAATGAGGAGGGGGGGGGGAGAGAAAGTAGCGCCGAAAGAAATTCCCCCTCCAGATGGGCTGTAGCGCGCTATCGCTACTTGGCGAAACATAGCGAAATGAGCTTTTCGCTGTTTTGCTAACATAGCGTAGGTAGTAGCGATGACGCGCTATTGCCCACCTCATCTTGAAATGGTCACAGCCTCGTTGTCATTGTTTTTTGCTCCTCCCTGAATGCTGTACTTTGATTTTTTTGTCGTAAATGATTACTTTTTCACAATTGTGGTTGAAATAGTCATTTGATTTGCTCGTAACTAGTGTTCGTCGGGGAGCAGTTTTTCGCACGGAGGGGGACCCCGCGGGGAGTAAATTGGACGGGAAGGTCCCCGCAAAAAAGCCGGGGAGCAAATTGCGCGGGGGTACCCCGTCGGGGAATGACCGCTCTCCGTGTTCCCCGACGGGGAGGACGGAGAGCATTTCAGCTCAATTTTTTAAACAAAATTTCAATTTTCAAAAGATTTTTCTTCTTTTTTTAAGTAGTTTTCTTTCAAGTGCACCTTATACTCACATTTCAAAACAAACAACAAGACAATATTGAAAGTTTTGCAGCGGTCTTTCACCATTTTCATTCGATTGTTCGCGATATTTGCGATATTCAGTTGATTGTTCGCGATATTTGCTTCTGACTGAATAATTATGGGAAATTCAGACTTTGTTTGCAAATGTCTTTGAGAAACAGAATGAAAGTTCTTCACTAAAAAGTGTTAACTTAAAGACAGCTTTAGCTCTTTCAAGCGCATAAAATTTGCTCGAAAACTTTAGAAGTTCATCATTCCCAAAAATTTATGATTCTCTTTCGAACTAATCGATACGAGATGGAAGGCGCATCTCGACTGAATGAAATTTTTTCTAAGACCAAGTAGTTTCGTTTCATCATTATCCGTCTCGCCTCGATGTTTCTTGCTAAAAGGAAAAATTCGTTTCCAGATGCAGATCTTTAGTGTTTGAACGCTGTGCTAACTGAACCTGCGTTTTGTGTTTCAATAAAGTTTATTGAATAATAATACGTCGAACAACAAATAATTTGATTCAATAAACACGTAATACTCAATTTAAACTGAATACATTAGCACTTCGTAGATCAGCTCAAACCGACCAATCCAATACAATGTAACACAATCGATTCCTTCCTTGAAGGGCGAAGAAAGAAAAACAAGGTAGTGTCAGCGGTTCCGATTCGATTCTTGCTTGACGTACCACCCGGCAAAAAAAGGTTGTAACAAAATGAATGAATGGTCTGATGACCAATGTACAACCCAATTCATTTTCTATCGTCGTTTTTTTCGGTTATAATTTGTCTAGAAATTCAAATGACACGCAGTGATTACCCGTCAGTAACAAGACACAGTGTGCAGCAAAATTATCACTTCATAACACACCGTTGTTCATTAAGGCGTTCTGCGAATATTTTTTGTGAGAACCAAACATATCTTTCATTCTGACGAAGACTTGCTATGGAAACAATTCATTCGACCACGATCGTTTACTGAATCACAAATTTATTCCATCAAAAAATCACCGACAGTAGCAAGTACGCCTAATTTGGAGAGCAAACACAGTGAATAAAGATAGAAATAAGAAATTGTTTTAAAAATGATTGTTTGATCGCATGATTAATTGGTAAGCGGAACAGACTTATGTATGATTCGTGCGTACCGTTAAGACTAGAATCAAATGGAAACAAATCGACGTAAGTAGTGGTTAATCGAGAATGAAGTGATCAATCGAAATAGGTGTATCAACGCATCTTCAAAAACGTAACTTTACTAATTCTGTATAAAATACGATCAATTAACTGGAATAACTATACTATTCATCAAGTATTTAGTGTAACTTCGTCACTGAGTTATGACTTATGAACGATGACATCTTTTCAATTCCATTGAAGAATGAATCCACACCACTATTCCATACTCCACCCAAATCCCTTCGTAACTCTTCGTTAGATGGCAACTGAAATGAAAATGAACTGACGGCAACATTTTTGGGTGGCAACTTTGAATTCTCGGCCATATTCATAATGAATCATCAACGCATATTGTTTCAACATTATCGAAATCAATTGTTTCATCACATATTTTTAGATTTTGCCGCGATTTTGTTTTTAATTTCTCTATATTGTAATTTTACAGAAAATTATCCAAATTCCAGCTCATCTTCACGTCATCATTACTGCAGAATATAAAACGACTACTGAAGCGTAAGGATGCAAAAAAGGCAGAGAATCAAACGACTACTTAATCCTGCGAAAATTTTTGTTGTGCATAAAATGTAGTAAATTTCGACAGCAAATGCATGAAAGTGGAACAAACTTCTTCAGGAAATACAATGAATCCAGGAAGAACGTGCTCCTGTAGGTTAGCATACAACTGTGCTCCTTTGTCAGTTTTCAGTGACCATATACCTTGGTCAATTGATAATTTTACACAACCAGCTACAACGCCAAATTTGAGGCCTACTCTGAAACATTTAATAGACATGTCCGTTTTAACAGGAGAGTAATAGGATGGTAAATGTGTGATATTACTTACTTCACTACCGGCCAGAAAACACCCATCGATAAAATGCAACGAAATAGCTCGAAGAGAAGGTTCTGAAAAATGATGACATTCCTTCACACATACCAATCAAAAAAGAGTGGAAATGGGTGAAAGCTTCGCTCATCATAAAGTGATCCGCCCAATATCCCCTAGAATAAATCTTCCTTAAATTATTAAACTATACTACTCGAATAATTCACATCTCAAACGAAACCATAAATTATGAACTACGAGACGGTGTGGATGCACTTGGCTATATGCCCTTGTCAACTGAGAGAGGGCGGACTCACAACGCTTTGCGTGCAACTAAGAGCACTGAAACGAGAGATTTGAACAATCTTATTATTAAAAGCAAAGAGTGCAGCCACCGCAAAAAAAGATACAAATAGATCAAAAAGCAGTGAGTGAGCAGTTACTTTTTTCAAAAATCACGCTTTTGATTGCTTGAAGTAATTGTATTAACACTGTGATACACTCTCCTCAAGAACTACTCCGGCACAACAAATTTTGTTGTTTTATACGTGCAATTATAGTTTCATTTATGGTTGCTCGTATCCTTCGCTGGCTCCGCCCTTGTTTCCAGATGCGTTTTTATGGCAAAGTGCGACGAGTCATTTGCAAGGGATTAACTGCTACTGATCTACACTGTCCCAACGGTGGCAACAGACGACATATCAAAATCGGATACGTGATTTTTCCAGTGGTGAAATCTGTTCATTAGCAGTAAATTTTCGCTGAACCGGTTCGCATGCGATTGTATGCTGATGACGGATTTTTTAGATCGTGGGATAGAGGAGATCTCATTCTAGCGGACTGTTTTTTGATGACCTGATTTTGCTTTTGCTTCCGTTAATTGAGTTTATTTTGATGGCTTGTTGAATGATGCTAATAAGTTTTCATCCAGCTGCGATATTTTTCGTTGATCATCACGTTCTTTCGAATTATTCATCAGACTATTGCAAATTAGCAAGCGGTTAAAACTGTATCTTTGTTGTTCAATGGCATCATCAAATGGATTAAAGATGAACATTTTTAACTGACCATTATGTAATCGTTTTCATCGTACAACCGTCCTTAATAACATAGATTTTGGCGAGGATTATGAATAAGTTAAATAATTTAAGTTATGAATAAGTCGTTTAGCGTATATTCGTTTCAGTTGATGTAGGCAGTGCATCACATAGTATTGTTTTAGTGATCGCGTTAGGAAAGGAACCAGTGATGGGGACGAAGTTATCGGTTTCGCTCGAGGGTGCTTTCGAGCCCGAGATCGCACCTCGAACCGATCGACCTCCAACGTTTGATCCGCTTTACGGTTTTCCAAAGGGAAGAAAACCGCGTGAAATGATTGCTTCATGGGATGAAATGGACCAGTGGTGTTTGAAGCCGGGTCAACGAGATTATTGTGCTCATTTTCTTATATCATTGCTCAAATGCCAGGTTAGGCCTCTTCCTTTTCGTTTCTTCTCGCTTTACTTCCGTGTGCTTAATTTAAATACGTTTCATTGAGAAGCGAGCCGTTTAAACCATTCGATTGGTACACAACGCCTCGTTTGTTCTAAATTTTATCAGATTGTTAGTTCTATTCTGAAATACTGCTTAAATTTGAGCCGTATCGTATTTGATCTTCATTTAGATCAACTACATCGCAAAATAGTTTCAGCTTCGAGTTGAAATTCTCGTTTTTGTTTCGATTGATGTTGCAGCATTAATTATTTATCCATCATTGATCGTCATTCAGATATCTGCTATTCGAAAATTAGCAAGAGCATCACTTGAAATTCCGGATACATTTTTGCTTGATGTTTTCCGTATTACGAACTCGTGATATAAACGTATAAATATCGCTACGTTGATTTAGTCATTGCACTATCGTTCTAGAAGGTGAAATTAACGACTTGATAGCGGGCTTATTTACCACTTAAATGATGGAATTAAATGTTCAGCAAGCAAAAGCTCCATTTGCTGGTCATATGTGTGATGGAGAGCGACATGCGTGGGATAAATGTGAATATGAAGATTATTTAATGCGGATAAAAGAATTTGAGAGGGAACGTCGTTTGCTGAAGAGAGCCGCAAGGAAAAACGCTGAGCACGTATAGGACGATGACATTTGAATTCGCTCATGTTTTGTATAGTTAGAGATACATATATTATTTGATGTATTCATTTTTTTAGATAAATAAAATAATGTTTTTTTGGTTGCATTGTGCACATGTTTGATTGCTGTACTTAGTTGTTGATATCACATCTTTGTATTCGTATCTCTTTATTAGTATTTTAACGTTCAATTTACTAATTAGCATCGGTGTACGTATTCACTTCTCGAATTTTCAATGCAAAGATTCAATAAAATATGTTAGAGTTAAAGATATCAGGGGTGTGCAAATGACCGAATAAGCGAAAAGAATTACTGCTTTATTCTGAAGCTTTCTTTTTCTTACGACTCGCTGCTTCTCGCTGTTATTACAACGGTTTTTTATTACATCTTTCTTTAGTTGAGAAGTGTCGTTCGTCAGCCCTTCATTCATTTAGTCCACTCTTATTTTATTCTTTTCGAAATGCTAAGTGTTCCATTAAAATAAATTGTATTCAATGTGGATATTGCGATCAGGAATGGATGATTCCGTAGACGTATTCTTTAAGTTATAAAAGGTTACATCCGTGATCTGAGGGTTTTGCAAAACAAATACAGTTCTGTTTTAACATATTAATACTGCAACTGCACTGAATGTTGTTCTGGTGAAATGAATAAAAAGGTTTCTTCTGTGGTCGATCGGAATTGTCAAACGGTTAAGCGCGAAACTGTAAAAATGACAGCTGATTGGATATTGTTGATTGATAACATGTGAATAGTGAAATGACAGCTCCTGTATACAGAAGGTGATTTGTTTACTTCAGATCCCCCTCAGCGATGAATTCTGATTTAAGATCAGTTGAAAGATTGGTTGGATTTAATCAGCAAACTTTATCAAATGTGACCGATTGCGTTGAACATTTCTGCAAAATAGTTCAACTGCGAAATTGCCGATCAAATGAGCATAATAAGGCGTGGATTTGTATTACGAAGTGTATTTACGAATCGGATGATGGAACGTTAAAGGCGATCGAGCCTCTGCTTCAGGTAAGTTTATAGGAATAATGGAGCATATTTATTCGTGTTTTTTGTATTCATTATAACTTCTCCATTTTCGACTTTAATTTTCATCTGCAAAATTTTCGACCAATTTTTATGGTTTATTCGGCAAAAATAATTGTATTTTTTTCTTTGATGTTACCCAACGAAAGAAACTCGATGGGCATAACGTTCAGTTATAAATGTTGACAGTGTACAATCGTTGCTGGTGGTAAACATGGAAAGTTGTTTTTATTTAATTTTCAGAGAGGAATATCGTCTGCGAAATCATTCATGATAAACATAGAAGTGCTGCACTTTTTACGTGCTGCCTTGTACCGTTTACCGTCGTTAGGACGTTTCAACCATAAAACATTGCTTGCGTTAATACCGAATATGATTGATTTCGCGACAAAGCATTACGATGTTGCAATCAACAGGTTCGTTTTGTTATGTAAAAGGAAGCATTAGATTGATTACTGTTAGCTGGTTGCATCAAAAAGTTACAAGCTGATTGGATTTGGTGTGTAACTGTATGCGATCAGATGTTGAGTATGAAATATGGCGTGAGCTGTATTGTTTCATTTTTAATGATGACCGATTGCCTGCAGACTACTCGTGTGTGATATTCTGTCAGTGCTTTGGAGAGAGGAGAACGAACTGCAGTTATTAAAGGAGCTGTGCACGAATACATCCACTGACAATACACGCTTGAACATCAGTATGCCAACCGAAATCGTTTTATCAAATTCCTTGCGAATCTGTGTGAAACATGCAAGTGCTTATCTTCATCTTATTGCACTCACCTTCCAAGTTCACATGAGGAGAATTCATTACAATGCCAACGGTCAGTTTAAATCAACCAAACGTGAAACATTTATAACGCAGACCTGGAACAGCTCATGCTGGGTTGGATTTGACGAACAGTCGGCTGCAAACCTGAATTTCTGTTATGGCATCCAAAATTTTGATTTGTTTCGCCTTTCGATCCTATGGTTGAAAGACGGTGTATGACTTCACAGGCGCGAATCATTTGGATTATGCACCTCTGAATCGAAAGACTTGGATAACTAGTCCCGTTGAATTGAAAAACTTGGTAATGCGAGAAAAAACGTAGATCAGCGAAGTTGTTTATCAAGTAAAAAACTTATTGGTCCAGATCAGTGGAAACTTGGGTATATGAGAATCAGTGCGGTTGCTGATTCGGTCGTACATTTTTCTTGATTTCTTCGGGCTCATGTTCGTTCGGGAGGTTGACTATAAACTCGGCAAGGATGTCTTAATTGTTATAGGGAAATGTTTCACTGCTGTTGTTTAGCACATAGGAGCGCATCGCTGAAATCGAAAGAACTGAATTAAATTCTTATTAGGGAACGCTCAACACATCATGGATTTGATCTAGCAGCTACTGGTCTCCGTGGGAATGAGAACTGACTTTCCTTGATGTTGTGCCACTAAAATAGCGTTCCATAATCAATGCAATACGGAATTTAAGTTTGATTCTTAAGGGATGTCGCTTTCATTGGATGTTTGGTTGGAATCGGCGATCAAAGTGATTCAACTGAACCATATAGTGCATGACGCGGTCTTATCATGGTTACATACAGTCATAGTTCACGCACAGCATTCTGTTCAGCCGTTCTACAGAACAATTCTATCATTAATCGAGTATGCTCATCCATCTCATCAATATTATAAATTCATCACGGCATTCATCACGCATCTGCATTTTGCACCCGACATGTTACTCAGCTGTATCAACCGTTCCATTCGTTACCCACTCTGTTTGCAGGTTAATTATTATTCATTTATTTATATGTTCAACCTGGTCTTGTCTCTGCCCTTATTATGAGTTGTTCAATTGCAGACTTATGGACAACACTACGCGAATGCAATGTGCAGTTTGTTATTGAAACGAAGTGTGCTACTAAAGCAGCAGTTTATTGATCAGCTGAGATTAACAACTCTTGACGAATTGAAGCGCTTTCCCGACTCATTACCAGCTTTACGCATCTGCAATGCTCTGCTCATATCTTATCCGTCAGATACACTCTTTCAGGTCTATTCTTCGTTGCTCATTTCTGATTCTCTACTTGTGCAGTATTTGATTGCACTGATCGCTTTGAAATTGATGGCCTTCAATGAAATGGCTCTTTAAAGTTGTTCTTTATTAATGCAAACAGTTGTGATTAACAGTTTGTTTGAAGTTCTTGTATAAAGAGACAGTCTGATAGATGTGTCATAATCAGTTCAGATGTAAGCAGTGAATTTGTTTTAAGTGTGATGCTTGTTGTTGCGATCGGTTGAATTGAATCGCTTTTTGAGTTGTTCGCTCAACGAAGTTCTTTCAGGTTGCGAACAGTAACAGCAGTGTGTTTGAAAGTATGCAAGAAAGAGTTTGGTGTGATGCGTTGAGTGGTACAGTGATCCGGTTAGAAAATGAAACAACATTCTACTTGACCGCTAAATGTAACATACATTCGAACACTACGGCTAGGACGAGCGATTCTGTTCAGTCGTCGAATCGATCAACGAACATTCCACAGAATAGCCATGAGACTTCATCTTCTCATCCATCAAACATCAGTCCTTCAGCAATTCAGTGTTCTGACGAAACTTCATCTAAGGCATTACCGCTACCTCAGCCCGCTGGTGATACAGTTGCCAGTAGGAGTTTTCCTCTAGAAAGATCCACACTGCCAATTAACGGTAGCAGCACTTCTGTATCAACAGCGGTGAATAAGTCGTCATCTCACTCAAACAAAAGAGGGATAACCGATCAAAATTACAATAATTCAGTAACTTTTCCATCAGATAACCAGCATCCACCGAAACGACTCGTCAAATCACCGAATGAACACCAAACAAGTATTAACCCTAGTTCGCTTGATACTTCTCAGACTCTAAATGACATATTGGCCGTATTTCAGGCCTGAATTTGCCATTTTCATATTCATTCCCTATAGCAACGACCTCTCCGTTGTCTTTTCTTCGTCTTCGTTTTGCAATTGATAAAAAGCCATTTGTTTTTGCTCACTAAACAGGTCCGTCTTTCATGTTTGCTTGCCTCAGTTAAGCAACCGACAGATAATCTCGCGCATACGTTTGTCTCCAAACGTGTTCGTGACGTTTACGTCGTAGGATTTAGTCAACTCTTTCACAAATGTCAAGTGTCTACCTAGTTCTTATTTTTATCGAGCTGCTGAAGAGCACCTCTGGACGAACTGTTCGAATTAGTTACGACTTCCAAATAATTCTTTCACGTTAGAGTACTCATGTCTGAATTTACAGAGTGCAAAATCTGTTGACGGCATAATGTAGTGAGGTTAGAGCATATNCTGTTGGCAAATGTTGTTGTTGTTGTTGTTTCCATCTAATAAAGCAGTATTCACGAAAGTGTCTGTAATTTGACATGTTCAATCGAAGTGTTGATGACCATATGATTTATAAATTAATCCAGTTTTTATTTACATTCATTACGGAAAGTGGACTGACACAGTCGATAGGTTTAACATATATATTGAGTGTACAATGTGAACTGTTTTAGAAGGGTGTGCATAAGAAGCAACGCGACTTGCAAATACATATACACATCATCTCAGCATTTTAAAAAATAATTTGACCAATATAATTGCATTCGCATGGTTCGTTCGTTTATAAACCTTATAACGGCTTTAATGTAAATGAGAAAAGGAAAATAATCATTTCGCTAACAATAAGTATGCTTCCGAATAAGAGTTATTCAGATCGTTGAATATTCCATTCTTAAATCAACAAAGACGAATCAATGTGAACGCAATCAGGAATATGCAAAGCATAGAAATGGAATTTTACATGTACACAACTATTGTGCAGCTGAAATTGGTTCAACACGTCTGGTTATAACATAATCACTTAATCCACGTACGCAGTCACGAGTCACATGAACACTTTCAATATCGCTGCCTGGTACCAAGAATTTAGCGTTCAATAATACCTTAAATGTAGTTATGAGCAATAATCAATTATAGATGTTTGTTACAACAACCGTATCAACAAATACCCCCATGAATGCTGTCACTCTTACACGACAATAGAAAGACGTAATTTTGGTGTTCACATTTAGAGAATCTTACTAAATTGACATTTAGATGTAGTGAAAAAGTCACTAGAACTTATTCATTTCATGTAATGAAGTGACAAATGTGGAGATAAACCGACGTAGAGTCGGAATAGTTGCTAAAATGGGTGAAGAGAAAGGCCAGCTGATACCTTTTCAATGATAGATCTTAATGCTCTGGCACCAGTCTTTCTTTCGAGCGCCATCCCAGCGATCTCTTCGAGTGCATCTTGTGAAAATGATAGGTCAACACCATCAATCGCGAACTGTAGTTTCATTTGAGCCAGCAATGAATTCGCTGGTTCAGTCAATACGCGCACTAGCATGTTCTGAATGATCAGTTATACTTTACTGTGCTGAACACGTAAGAGAGAATGTCGCTTTCAAAGGATAATAATACCACTACTTTTGAGAACAAAAAGTTACCTTATCAAAACTATGGAATGGTACAATCACTGGGAATCGTCCAACGAGTTCTGGTACAATACCGAATGAAATGAGATCTCCTTGGTCGGCTTGTTCCAGCAATTCATCTCTCTTTTTAGCAACCACACTCTCCAATTTATCATCACTTGTTATACGTTGATTACCACATTTCGCACCTTAATTTCAGCGCATTGCAACGTTTAAACAATTCCAATAAAAATTGTTTTTCACTATGTTTCTCTAAAAAAATAAGTCAAAGCGATAAAATATGAGCCTAAAATAGTAATAACTTGCACAATTTCTCGATTAACAAATGTTGGAAATCGGTCAGATCGATCCAAATGTCGCGCAAGAATTAAGCAAGAAACAAACAACTTGCAACGAATGAACTGACCGAATCCGAGCATCTTTTCATCGAGACGTTTACCGACGATTTTATCTAAAGCCGTAAAAGCACCAGATGCAACAAAGAGAATATCTGATGTATCTACTTGAACCGTATCTTGTTGAGTTGCTACTGTCTTCCTGCCACTTTTCACATTAACCAATGTACCTTGAGATATACATATATGACAGCTTGACAAAATTTCATTTTAGCAATTACTCATGAAATGAAATGATTCTTTATAAAGAGTTGTGAATAACAGTTCAATTATTTATTGGTGTTCTACAACCTTTTTTATGCCATCAAACTTTCGGAAAAGGATCTAAGGGATCATCCTCCTCCAGACAAGTACGTCTTTCTGGGTAGTTAATAAAGGAGCTGCGAAAGATCAAATGTGATAAAGAAGAATTGTAAAATTAGTACTAAAAGGACAACCTTCGACAAGCTTCAATAAAGCATGCTGCACTCCTTCGCCACTAACATCACGGTAAGCATGTGACTGTGCATTATGCGCAGCTGCGATCTTGTCGATCTCATCCAGGAAAACGATGCCTTGTTGGGCACGTTCCACGTTTCCTCCTGCATTTTGCACTAACTTTTGAATGACACTTTCTACATCCTCACCGACATACCTTCAAAACACATCATTTCTTTATATACCATCCTTATCTTCGTCACCATACTCTAACAATAACACAACTCACCCAGCTTGCGTCATCGAAGTACAGTCGCAAAGAGCAATTGGAACATCTAGAATTCTGGCTAATGTTTGTGTTACAAACGTTTTACCCACACCAGACGGACCCAACAGAAGAATGTTTGATTTTTCAAGTCGAATAGGCGATTCGGTATGTGGAATCGAACGGAAGAGTGGTGAGGTGGCTCGCTGAGGTAATTGATGTGATGCTGATTCGGTTGAGTATGCATTATTCACGCGAATATCACCTCTTACAGTTCTGTAATTCGGTGCTGTTTCATCAGGCGGATAGATAGATGAGTATGATTACAATGATATGGTTTATTTGGTGCTATGCAATGATGTAATGCAACCTGTAATCCTCTTGATAAAGTACACCACGTGGCAACTGAGTATTAGCATTACGAGTTAATTCGCTTGTTGCATTCATCGACGAACTTATATTGTTTTCGATATTGTGATTAAGTCGTCGATAGTGCTGATAAACACCCACTGATAATGTCTTTTTTGCTTGGCTCTGACCAACTACAAATCGATCCAAATATTCAGATATCTGTAACGATTCCATTTATCTTTTCTATTCGCTCAACCCGCCAAACTGCTGTCAAAAGAGCACAGAATGAGAAGCGCAACCTTCAACATATGAACAGGCATAAAATAAAATTGACAAATTTGCTGAACAAATAAGAAATTTGTCCACGTGCCTTCAATTCATAAACAAAATATCCTGCATCCGCTTCTGAACGCCGATAGCTACTTTAATCAGTCATGAGTTGCTCCAGAACAAATTTTTAAAATTTGAATTTCAGATTTAAATGTAAAGTTCACCTACTTGCAACGGATAAGGCGGCTTTTGGCTCGTTTCGTTTGCTTTTAGAATATTCCATCTTTGATTGTCTTCATCAGACGGACCTCCGGTGTAGAGTCGATTGCAGCTTTCGCAATGAAAGTAGCGTGTTGTTGCTAGAAAGAGACATATTGTTTGGCCATCCGTTAAAAGAATAATTCGAAACGAAGAGTACCAGTAGTGCACATTAAATGCTCTCGCAGACATTCTTGACTCAGCATTTCATCTCACGACAAAATATAACGGTCAAGTCTCATTTCTGTACATTAGAAATAAAAACGGTTTTATTGTAGGTTATCATCCACTTAAAAGAAATCAGATGGAATAGTGACATGGACTGATCAAACTAACGTGTGACAGTAGGCACACTTTTGAGTGGTTTACCACATTCACGGCAGTGATAATTATTTCTTTGAGAAGATTTGTTCTCATCAGAAGTTGAGAAAGCATTATGGTGGCTGCTGTTAAAAGTTGATGGTGGATCACCATCGCCAGATGAATTACTACCATTACCATTCGATGAGGATGATGACGATAAGGACCGTACCAAGATCGATTTTAGAAATGGCTGACACTGTCGACGACCTAATAATAGCAACGCTGCTGCTGCTGATGTAGGACAGTAAGCCATTCCTTGAACTTTTAAACATGTAGCACATTTTCATTCTTCAGCAACCGTTCACAAACAATCGTTTTACCAGACCGGTCTCCCCTTTATGAGTTGTTTAATCAGGACATTCAGTACAAATGTTCAGTCGTTCATTTCATTTCATATTCAGAAAAGCAATGTTATTTATTGCATACATGTCTAAATGAGTCATGCTCCTTTCATAGTATATCATCTAAGAAATAATACCCACTTACCCATCAAATGCGAAACGAATTGCAAACATTTCACTTCTAAACGTTCCAAAACAAAAGCATTGCACTTCAACTCACAGTAATGAATTTTATCTGTTATGCTGAAATACCCGTCCAAAATGTGCTGTAATCAACATTCAAAATGTTTGAAATTGGTCAAAAGACTGGATTTTATTCGCAAAAGAGGATCGCTTATTTAAAAAAAAAAACGCCTTGGACAGAGACGTGTCATTATCGATTCTTCACCTAATTTAACCGTAACGATGCACTTTTTATTATCATAATGGTACTGCTGATATTGCACAATCTCACAAAAGTATTCAAAACAGTAAAAACCAGATCATGTCAGTACAAAATCTGCAATAAAAAGATAATGTTATTTCTCATTAAGAGTACAACCTCCGATATCGATTACCGGCTACAAGATATTCGTAACCTTAAAACCCCGTTATAACATATATTTTCCTCTGTAAAGACTTTATGACGAAATAAGCTTCCCAACGAATGCAATTACAACGCAAATAACAGAAGTTTAAAGAGTTTTTGTCCTGTATTGCACAACTACGCAGTACAATACAAAATTTGAAATTACTAACTGCAATCGTAATGATCTGGGGTCTTCTTTGCTTTCGGGGCACTACAGAGCTCTTAAAAGATCATTTCGTCGTGACACAAGGATATGCCTCTATTTAAGTACAAACATGCATAAGCTTTTACTGAAGCAGCTCCAAACGGACGAATCAACATACCCTTTGATGACCCGGATATGCTTGCAATAGTCATGCTTATTAAATGATGTTTCAGTGCCTTCTTGTGGCGAAACGACCGTCATTCTTTTTCATCTAACACATTGCAGTGCCTCTAAAGTGGTACTCATTCTATTGCCGTATGGAAGGGTTGAGCGTTTGTAAGTTAATCCATTTTTCATTCATTTAAGTGGGCATACGTCTATCGAATGCAGCGCAGTTTGGTAGTGGGGTTTCACAACTATCCACTCAACTTGTCACGAGGAAGGCACACCAGCTCTGAACTAAGCGTGGAAAGGGTGTTGATTTTCAGTTGAGAATGTCGTCGCATTGGGGACTCGCAGTCTATCATTTTTCGACAGGCGGAGCAGTTCGCCTACTCTTGGTCGAGAAAGAATGATGCATACCTCTTTATCCATGATTTCAACCCCTCCCTTGGGCCCTTTCCCCTGCTCCCTAAGAGCCTACCTACCTTCTTCTCGAAGGACCCCTTCACTGGAAAGGGGTGTAAGTCCAGACAAGCAAATAAAAAAGGATAACAAAGAATGGAATGAAATGACTCGAAAGAGGAGGAGGGGATAGCAATGGAGAGGACTTTTCCAGCGATACGAATAATCAAACAGTACCCCGACAATTCCAAAGATCACGCGTTCGGCAATTATCTAGTAGAGAGTTAGATTTGGTCTTACAATTATGCACATTCAAGAATCTGCGGATTGTTTCTCAACTGGGTGACCGACAAATGCCCTAGCGACAATTGCAAGTACGTGGTCGGTCAACAAATTTCGTTTCGGTTCGCTTTTTGAGCGATTTGTATGCGCATCTACCTCTATAGTGTACAACCTTAGAGTTGTGAATGTAATGAAGATATTCATGATGGTGGTACAGACAAGATTTTTTCTCTTGATCGGGCAGTTTCTCTCGATTTATTTAACTGAAATGATTCAAACTGCAAGAAACTGGTTGGAGGAAGCGTAGAGTTGAAAAGGAAAAGTGCCAGTGAACAAACCTATTTGTGCAACGGATCGTCCTAACCAAACAATCCTCAGTTAGCACTCTTTGATGTTACTGTGAAGGAGCGGTCTGAATATATTAATATTGATTCATTTCATTGTTTTTATAATATTAGTATGATCTCAAATAAGAAAGTACCCATAGGTAGTGTTGTATCAGGCATGGTTATGTTTTAGCTATTGCTGATAAACAAAGCTGAGCGTAAACATGGGCAAAAATTTGGTTCTGATCCCGAACCTAGCCATAAATCTGTGCTATCGTGCCACCTGCTTTTTAAAGCCACATTAACTCTATCGTTCAACTGTAAACTATTTTTCAACTGTACGCTTGCTGCAACCGATTTCTTGCCGTTTGAATCCTTTCAGCTCAATAATGCAAGGGAAACTGTCCGACAAATCATCTCCATAACATTCATTTGCACGTTCAGTCATCTATTTTTGCTGATAACTTTTTATAATAGTTGTCACCATTTATGTACAATTTAAAAATTGGCACTCTCTTATGGTCATTGGTTAGCTTTGAGAACGTCAACCGTGTGCTTTTAAGAACAGCTTGTTGGCCTCAATAAAATGATATCGACAATAGCTACTTTGAGGAATGGAGAATAAAGCCGTCAATCAAACGCAGTGAATGCTCGGTACGGTGGCGTCAGTGTTGTTTGTTTTACGCGAATTTTATGTTGTGGATTCAAATTACTCATTGAAAAGCGTTGAAAATCGACTATGGCTCAGTCTAGTGACCTAGCTCTGTGGAGCAATTCAACAGCGGTTCTACTTGCTGAATTATTGTACGTTGCCATGTATCATTTTGAATTTCTGCATGGTTTTGCCAATTAAAGTTAGTAAATGACTCTGTCTTTCCTCAGTTTTGTTTGTCATTTATTTTGCATCATTAACGCCGTATCTAAAACTCTGCTTAACGATTCATTGCTAATTGAACTGTTTGTGGTATGATGTTCATTAATATTAGATTGCTGTGAGCATTAAAAAGAACTTTTTATCACATCACGAAACTGTGTTCATATTTGGAATAAATGCAAAAACTTGAATGGCTGCATTTGAAATGATATGTATGAATTATCAGCAGCTACACGATTTTGCGACACCATGCAATAAAAAGAGTCGGATTGTGTGAGTGTAGGTTTGGGTATAAATGATCGGCCCAGAAAATTTTATAATTATGTGAATTTGATACAATTCACCGTTGAATCAAGTGAATTCATAATTATTGTTTACTGATTAACTAATTTTGTATCATGCTCGAGTTTTGTAGCGCAGTATCTTTCAGAAGTGCATTCGATACCAGTATTTTTGGTAACGTTTGTGTTGTAAGTATAAGATATGAATTGCATAATCATTCATGTAATGTTCTCATTTCCGTATGAGAATCAAATCTCAATGTTATTGATCAGTGCACATTGACGATTGTAGAAATACGCAGGAATCTCTTCTTGCACGTCTCGAGGATGCCAATTTGATGCTGTCTCCAGAAAAACTTCGTCTTATCAACAACCATGTATGCATATTTGTTTATTCTCTATTTTCTACTCTCAGTTAATTTATTATCGAATGTAAGATGAAGTTCTTGTGTAAGTAGATCAAATTGATCATTCACATATTCGAAACGGCTGAAAAAGTAAACCGAATTAATCGGTGGTTTTTCTTTGAAATATTTCGAAATTCTTTGCGATACGTCGGAAACACTTTGTTGGGTTTGAGAAAAACGATTATTCGGAGAACAGTTAGTGATTATCGCGACGTGAATTTTTGAACATGATGATAGATAATTGGAAATTTTCAGTTATCAAAATCAGAACGATATGTGACACTTTTGCATTCGTTACATGATGAAATGATGAGTTTGAGTCAGCGATATCGTCGAATTGCTTCGCGAGCTGAATCACTCAGTCGAAGTTTCATGACTGGAGCTCAACTAGAAACTCGCTGATTGAACGATACTGTTTCATTTATAGTCATTCTTTGGCAGTTGATCTGTTTTTAGCATATAAAATTTTGTTTTGTTTTATTGTAGCTCTCAGACAGTTACCACATTTACCTGCTTTCAATAATGCATCAATCAAATTGTTATTAGTGTAACGTCACTGTTCTCTTCAGCTTTTCAACTTCGTTTACCCACTAAGCGCAACAGTTATATATTCCACAATAAACCTTTAAATGAGAGTCATTTTTCAAAATATTGTGGTTTTATGGGGGTCATTTTTCAAAAAAAACTTTCACATATTTTTCGAAATTGCTTTTGATTTTTGTTGTATCTGTAGGCGAATAGCATTATGCTTTTTCATCCTATTATTAATAGTCTTAACAGTATGCAATGGTGATACAGTAAGTTCGTTGTTGATCAGCTTGGTACATTATTTGCAAACATTGATCGGAGAATCATTGAATTTTCAACTGGATCTTTATTTCTTGAATTCGCCATTGTAAAATGACTCACAACCAGCATCTGAGAATTTTTTCGAGCATTTCAAGCACGTGTTATCAGAAGAGATGTATTTGCTTTAATCCGCATTGCTCGCTACGTGTTACCACTTTTACAGCGAAAAAAATTGCTCAGATTGAAGAGTTGAAAAGATTAACAATTTAACTGAGTAATAAAGCACCACGATATAATTCTTGTATTATCAAATGATCATTAGGTACCTCAGGCGCCCACTCAGAATTGCAATGTTGCTTTGAGTTTTGTTGTTTTTTCGCCAAATTTTATGGTTTTTACACATTTAGAAGTTACGTTTCGTTAAATCACGATTTCCTTTTTCTGATAGGCCATCGGAATATCCAATCAGCGTACTACTTTTCATCTTTTTTTACTATTTTTTAAAAGTTGTCTCTGGTAAACATGGTGATGCAGCCTCAGCAAGCTATCAGCTTATTTAATTCGTCAAATTTTTGGAGATTGCGAGTCGCTCTTATCGACTGGTTGATAAGTCTTTGTTATATTTTTCACTTCTAAGTTACTCTTCGTGTAGTGAATAAAAATGTCTTAATTTACGGTAAAATGTAATTGTTTAATAGCATTATTGTTGTTTTGCGGTCAACATTTTCGCGGACTGCCTTAAGTGATAAAGAATTTTTCCTGTCGGCATTGATGAAAGAATGGAATTAATTAAGGAATTAGTTTGCAAAGGGGATTTCCCCTCCCCCCAAGTCTAAGTCAACTTCCCAGTCGGCCAGAAACATCGAATGGTGATGGTACCACTTCGTTCAATTCCACATCTAGCTTACTTTCAAGACCTGCCAATTTACAAACTTACACACACAAATGTAGAAAGGTAATATTTCGAATTAATCACTCTTACACGTCTTGCTTTGCTGAGACGTGTTAGTCGGAAGCTCGAGGAGCGTTGGCAAAATGAGTTTGATTCGCATCGAGTGGTGAGATCATGAGACTAGGTTTTTGACGAATTTTAACACATAAACAGGACAAGGAGTGCAGTGGGGTAATCCTGCAGTTTTGGTCAGCGAAGAAAGGGGTGTAACTTAACATATACATAACACGCGTCAGCCAGTTCATGGATGACACGTGCCGTAATCTGGGCCCAAGCCTAAGTCTAAGCCTCAACTTAAGCTTAAAACTAAACTTAAGCTGCGCGTTATATATGCGTCAAGACATATCCCTTTCGTCTTTGACCTAAACTGTAGGATTACTGGTGGGTAAGTACTGAGCCATATGAGGTGAAATACACAGGCGACCTGTTGAATTATCGAAATTCAAGTCAGCTCCATTGAATTTTAAAACAGGTTTCAGCTGTCTACTTCAAGCAGATTAGGCTCCAAATTGCATTCAAGTGATTTCTGCGGTTTCCAGATGCATTTTGATGTCATTATTTGTTCCACCTTTGGAATGGGTCTACGACATATGACCAATCGACAACTGTCAGCACGATATTTGACCAACAAGTAGTCAATATTTGACCATTTTGATGTCACGGTCACACAAACTTC